CGAAGCCCCCTTATTTTATACCCGCATCCACTCCCCCAGGTGCCGTTCGTGGAAAACTATATATATTTTTTTTGGTATGCAGGAGGATATTCAATCTCTATCAAGGGAATTTCTGGCAAGGGTGGAAAGTCAGATGGAAATGCTTGTATGAGAACATTGCTGGATTTCCTTCTATCAGGGGAAATGTACTTATCATCACGCAGGAATCTCGAAAGGTAAATGTTTCCACGCTAAATGGCATACAGTAACAACATTCAAAAGTTGACACTAAAGTGAAAGTGTCACGAGATGATAAGAAGTAAGATCATAATGAAAAGGAACATTTTTTATTACTCTCATTCAAAATTCTCATCCAAATCTAATAAGCTGCACAGTGTTGAAACGAAAGGTCGATGAAGGGTCGATAAAGTGTAGGTGGAGGAAGTGGGGGGACAACAATAGAAATGTGGTGGTAATATAATGGTGGTGGAGGGAGACGTAGAAATGTGGTCTTGGTGGTGGTGGAGGGTAACAGTAGAAATGTGGTGGTGGTCGTGGTGGTGGAGGGAAACAAAGAAATGTTGTGGTTGTGTTGGTGAGTGGTGGTGGGTAGCAATAGAAATGTGGTATAGTCGTGGTCGTGGAGGGAAACAATAGAAGGTTGTGGTTGCGCTGGTAATGGTAATAGTGGTGATGAAGGGAAGCAATAAACTTGTGGTGGTGGTGGAGGGAACCACTAAAATGTGTTGGCACTGGTGGTGGTAGTATAGCTTGCTTTTACGTGTCACTGACACACCGAATTGCAGAACTAGTTATAATTGTCGTCTTATTTTTGGACGCTTGTTTTTGGAACAGTTCCGTTTCCTTTATGATTTTGATTCCGTGTTTTTCTTAGGATGCGAAAAAAATCATTGATCCTGCGGCTCAAGAACTTGAGATCGCTTCCACCAACAAGACAGACCTTGAGGTAGGAAGGACGGTAGACCGCCGAAATTTTATTAGGTTTTGTCTTATTCGTCGTGCAGGAAAACGGTAGTAATTTGTTTTTTTCCTAAGATTGGTATTTAATTTAGTGCAGTTTGACTCCGCTAGTATTTTTTTCGTTCATGTTTGGAGTTCTGGATTAACAGAGCTGAGGGGATTGGATTAAACTTTCCTAAAGTTCTTTAAAGACTGGTTGGTTTGGCACGTTTCGTTACAGTTCTAGTGGGGTCTTTGGCATTATCCATCTGCTGGCTTTCATTTGTCGGGACATAACTGACTGGGAAACTGCTGTTTTAAGTTACTGTAAATCCTCTATTAAGTCCCCCGGGGAGCTTATTTATTTCAAGCCCATTTGCCCATTTGTGGGGGGGCTTAATAGAGATGGTGGGCTTATTTGAGAAGAGGGGCTTATTTAATTTAAAAACGACAATGGTATCAGTTCTCCATAAAGAACTAGATTGCAACGTGGAAAAGCTCAAGTACAAGAAGTTTTAGGTCATGCTGCTGAGGATCAGAATCAAATCCGATCTTCCAGTTGGTAAATAAACCATCCTGGATCAGTCCACACAAAGTTTTACAGTCGTGGTTGACTGATACAGTCTATCATTTATTAGTGAAGAATAAATAGGGGAGGGGAGGGGAGGGGGGGCTTATTAGAGGGAGGGGGCTTATTTGAGAGCGGGGCCGTAATAGAGGATTTACGGTAAATTCATGTGGACCAACCAAAGGTCAAGCTTCATCTAGCTGATTTGCAGTTCCTCAGTTGCTCGTTAGGAACCGTCCACGGGAAAGGAGTTTTTGTCCCCTTCAAAAGTGATTTCTAATGTCGGGTTTTTAACGTCTGTATACGGTTTAGCCCAAACGTTTTTATATTCATTACATGGTCACTCACGAAATTGTTATCCTGTCTAATTATAGCCTTCCGAAGTTTACTTTGTTTAACTGTTTTCTTTTTTTTCTTCTTCTTTGTCTGTAGGTTCTCAAGTCGAAAATCGACAGAGTTCTGCGCCAGTTTCGCTTAAAATAAAAATCAAAATAATGGGATGACTTTACTGGTCAGAAACAATGGATAAGTGCTAAATTATGCTGATATTATTTCAATTGCTTTAGGCTTCAAGAATTCATCGTAATTAGTTAGGTTACGTTTTTTGAAATTGAATTCCGAAGATAGTGTTTTTCTTATTTCAGTCTCTCTTCTTGACTGAAGTCAGCTACAATCAGCTGTGTAGAAAAGGATTAATATATCAATGTATGGCCGGGTGCCATTCAGTGAAAATTATGTTGGATGACTTAAAGCTAATTGCCATTTTTTACTCGCAAACCTTGTTGTTGTTTTTTTACTCTGCGAGACTTTTAATTTTTAGGTAATTCTTGATTTATTGCAACCCTATTAATAAAAGATGCTATAATTAGGTAAGGCGAAGTACGAGTTGACCGCCTGTGTCCCTTATCTTATCTTGTAGCTTGAATTACAAAACAACAGACTCGTGATTGAATAAAGCACAAAAATGAACATACCATTTTTGAATGAAATTTGAATTGAAGAACTTTGAACAGGCTAACACGGAACTGAGCAAAAAAAATAAGAGCTTCAAGGCGCTAAGTCAAGTGATAGCCCACTCCTTTAGTTTTTATTAAATACGATAGGCGGAAATACTAGCCAAGCCCTTCCTTTTATTGTATATAACCGCGCCGACCACAAGTTGAACGGACATTGTGTTGAGCGAAGAACAGCCATAGCGAGTAGCAAGTATAAGCGTCTGTATTTTTTTTTTTTTTTTGAACAATGGCAACGTTTGAATTCTGATACTACAACAATAGTCTAAAGAAAGAGACAGTAGAAATCCTCGACTCCAGCGAGGCTCTAGTCCTGGTCAACGAGTCTGACTTGGCAAACTTGGATATGACCCTTGGTTAATGAAAACTCTTAGCCAAAGCGATCGGGCCCTGGGACTGGGGCCACTACCGTGAAGCTAGAGGGCGCAGATTCTACACCCGTAACAACAAGGGCTCTTGTGAAAGATGGAGGGCTCGACGAAATTCTCAAAAAGATAGAAGGAATAGGCGCATTCGACGGCCCTTTACCAGCGCTGAGAGCGACCAAGAGCACCATGCCAGCCACTTCCAAAGCAGCTGCTAGAAAAAGAGGTGAGAAGCCCCTTTCAATACCAGACTTGGTTATTTCTGACGAACATGAGATTGGTGGCACGGGTGGGGCTCGCATCATAATAAGAGCGAACAAAGCTAAATTGAAGCTAGAAAATGTCACGTTACCTATGTGGATAGCCGCAAACTCGAGAATAATGCAGGAGCTGCTAACAACAGGAAGACTATCGGGCACTTCTAGTATTTCCGATTATTTATCGTGTACGGTCAAGTTTGCTGAGCTTTTGGAGAGCCAGACCTTCTTGTCAGTGGTCGTGTATGACAATGAAAGTCGCAGTATAAATACGGTTTTCGGTGGGGAAGCGACTCTCAACTTTTACATACTCGCTTTCTCATCAAACGCCGAACTTTGGGTTCTTCCCAACCAGAACTGCCAAAATTCCCAGCAGGAAATCGCTCGCATCAAGCAGATTTACCCATTTGCCGGCAGTTCAACTCCCCCAGAGGATGTCAGTGGCCTAATTGTCGCTTCCAATATGTGCGTATTGTGCCTAATTGTAACCAGTCTCCGGCACCCACAGCGTGCACATGCTAATTAATTCGCCTAGCGATATTCAATGACTTTTGCTCGACCTTACATCAGTCCCCTAGTAATGTGCAGTAGATACCTGGCGAGATAATGTACAAGACGAAACTATGTGCTCACATAAAAAAACTACAATTGTAAGCACTGTTGGGGCCATCCCAAAAACTTACGGTGACAAAATTCGTCTTATTCACGACTGCAGCCGCCCTGAGAATAACAATTGAAACTCCTACGCAACTACAATCTTGGACAAAATAAAATGGAACAGCAAACCCCCATCCCGCCCAAATCAAGGATGAAGCCGCGCGAAGGGCAAAAACGCGCCATTTTCCCATCCTTGATTTAGGGGGGAGGGGGGGTCTAGGTTTTCCATTTATTTTGTCCAAGATTCTATGTAATATTTTTCTTACGTTACTCGTGACAGAGCGGTATCGCTTATCAAGCCTAACGCATATCTTGCAAAGATTGACCTTAAGAGTGCTTATCGTCATGTAGCTATTCACCCTCCTAATTACAACGCCATAGGAATCGCTTGGAAATTTCGCGGAGCGAATCACACAAGTTACATGTGCTACTGTAAACTGCCATTTTGTGCCTTAAAATCATGGGAAATGTTTCACAGGATAATACAATCCACAACCACAATGATGACTCGGCGTGGATTTCTAACTGTGTTAGCTTATCTCAACGACTTTCTAATCACAGCTGATAGCGAGCGCAAGTGGGAAATAGTTTACCATGAGTTAATTAGGTAGTATGGTCAACGATGTGACGTGCGAGCTCCAAAGGAGGAAGCACTTGCGTTCATAGAAACTAATCAAAGAAAGATACGTCTGCCGCTTGCTGATAAATAAACGTCTTCATTGGTTTCCTCCCACTATTTTAATTCCCGCCTTCGTTCCGCGCTCTTCCTGCATCTGCCTCTGCAAATAATCTTGCTCCACACGGTCTAAGAAACCGGCCAGTCTTAATTTTGGGCATTTTTTTGGTGTCCCGGATGGTGTGATTCCAAAACTTTCGTAATTCAAAAGATGGAAAGGATAATGAATCATGCAATTTAGAAATTTGATATGGATGGGTCATTTGATCCGGTTGAGGAATATGATTTGGATAGATCCCCATGTTTCACAAGGTGCCCCTTATAAATCTTTCTCACCAGCACTTCTCCCTCCCTTAGATATACAATAAACAGACTTGCTAACTGTTCACCATCTTTTACTGATTTGCCAAGCAATTTTTAAAATGCAGCAATTGACTTACTTACATTTTTATTTATTTCAGTTCTACTTAATTTAGTTCATAGTTAAAAGCCTCTGAACTTCAGGATAAGTGGGCTATAAATCATTTATTTTACTTTCACTATGCTGTGTGCTTGTTCTGGCCTTGCTTGACTTGTGTTTTTACTTCCAACTAAAAAGAAAAACAGTTATCATTATTTAAATGTAGTTACCTTAAAACCCCGCTTATCAGTTAGTTCTTACTGTGGTGAGTTCAAAGTAATCAACCTGTTTCTGTGATAACAAATTGGCGATTGAAGGCAAACTTTGTTGTTTATTCTAAAGGATACTTGTAACGAAAGCAAAATGAAATAATTTAACACTGTTTTTTGACGGAATCGAGCGACGTAAAAGAATTTATGACTGGGCGTACCATAGGCAGTAAAAAGCAATCATAGTTTCAATAGCGCCCCGCACCTTTCCTTTTTTTAGACCTTAGAGACTCAGATAAACAACTTGAAATTAACTTTAGCGAATTCCTCACTTTTCTCTGAGGTTTTTTTTATTATTGGTATCGATGATGCATTGTTCCCATCTTTCAAAGCCAGCTGGCTGTGAAAAAGTAGCTGGGACCATTTAACCCTATCAGGGAAACGGCGGAATATTTTGAATGACAGATAAGAAGAGTTGGGCAGACCATTGATTGATAATCATTTGCATAGATATCAATTAAACAAGATCCGAAAAACTTACAAAGGAACTTGGACATTCGCGCCTGTTTTCCCTGCTCCAACACCTATCTTCTTGCCACCAACTGTAACGCCAACATCGACACCCTTGTCTTTATCGACGCCGACATTAACTCCATTGTCTTTGTCGCCGATACCAAGATTAAATATCCTGGTATTCTTGGCTTGACGACGATAAGGACGATAAATATAAGGGGGCTGGGCAGCCATATCTTCTTCTACATGCTGAGCATCTTCAAAGTGTTGACTAAGAAGTTATTAAAGTAACATTTTACATTTTGTCAGTATTTCTAGCTCGACTAAAAAGCTTTTACGTTTAATAAAAGATCTGTTTCAGCCTTTAAATGCTGATTTAGTTCTGCAGACAAAAAAAAATCATCAATTTGATTCAGCCTTTCCTAGAGCCTTTTAAGCGCACTTTGATCCAAAACATCGCTACTAATAAGATAGCTAAATTAGACCCCAATGGTGTACTGCATTTTATTCATCTCAATATGGCGAACCTTAAATTCGACGCTTAAACAAGTATAAACGTGTATAAACGCTTCATTTGAAACTACAGATAAGTTTAAACCTAAAAACGTAAATATATTTCAATACTGTTATAGAAATAAATCACTTCTCTTTTTATACTAATAAAAGGAAAAACTGTGCGAGCTTGTATTCTACGTACATGCTCTTTAAAAAGAATCCGATAAAAGTAAATCGGACCAAACTTTCAAGTTTCTAACGGCATATAAAATTACTTGAACAGGTCAAATACGAAATGACTTAAGTAAGTTTTTACGCTGGACTGTAATTCACGGTAAACCATTTTTCATATCTTACCTCTTTCCAGCTGGGAACGCTAACACCAAAAATGCAGCGCCAATAAGTATTATAGAATAAAGCTTCATCTTGTAGCTCCTGTGTTAAAAATGTGGAAAGAATAGAGACTATTAAATTTCCTTCAAGGCGTACTTACAAATTAAGGCCAAAGGACAACGAGTAAATTGAAAAAGAATCGCCTCTTATGCGTTGTGTTCTACCTTAAGAATATCAACGAGTAAAGATGCTATTCCTCCTCTCCTTGCCTTTCAATGATAAAGTGCTCGATTTGGCCAACACGCAGCTATTTATGCTAACTTCACGCCGTAAAACGTGCCGTTTCGCGTAATAATAGTTTATACTACGTTGCCTTATGCCCTCGTGGGAGTCAAAGTATTCAATTAAGAATAAAACCTTCCTTAGTAACCTTGCATATCAACATGTAAAGTAGTATTTTTGAAATTTTTATGTGACACAGGACAAGTTTCGGAAATAAGCTTGATCAGTTTTCTCTTTTGGTGTGGGGTGCTGCCCTTCGTTTATATTGATAGAGCTTTTTACGAAGTGTCTAACCATAAGATAGCAAGGTCTTTCTTAAATTACGTTGTTACCTAAATCATTAATTATGATAGTTTTATTTCCAATGAGTGTTTCTTCTTTGCTGTAAGAACTAAAATTAACCCGCTTAATGTGGACACTGGTTAATACGGACGAGTCTCAAACTTTCATGTATCTTCAATCCCACTTTACGGACTCTGGTTACCAGCGCACTGTCTATTTTCTTGCCATAATAATGTGCTTATTGTAGACATCGGAAACTAACTGTTCAAATTATTTCAGATTTCCTTAAGTTAACACAATTTTATAGCTTAAAAACTAAAGGTAGCACAATTAAACCCTTTAATAAAGTTTTGCCTCTCGCTACACACGTTTCACTTCTTGGTTTTTTGCTGCAGTGATTTTTTCACCCTTCTTTCCCTTTGTCTCTTGAGTCATCAATAAATCATGTGTTCGTGGCTTATTTTCTGAGATGTCCTCTTGGTGTTAATGTCCTTATATATTAACTGGGGTTTACTGTCCTTTTCTACCAGAAAACTTAACACGGTTATTCTATTGAAGGAGGTTAAGATCTCTCAAGATTGCAAAACTGAGAAGACTTCGAGCACTTGGTAATTTGCTTCCGCTACTACGAGATTTTCGCCAAAATCCGTAGTAGAATGACAACGATTATCACGTTTTCCCGCCAAAATGGCGCAGGTTCACGCTCGAGCACTTCTTGGTTTTGGGAAAGTCTTGGTCTAGTAGTTGTCCTTCTCTAAGAATCTAAAGGTCTCTAATCGCAGTCCTCAATGATACGACACGTTGGAAAGTTGGAATTTCTTGATCATTTTAGGGATATTCAAAGCTGCCTTGCTTATCATTATTGATCACAAGTCAAACTAGCAATGACTCACCATATTTGGGAATTATATGAAGGCAGGAAGCGTAGGAGCCCAAAACGTTTGGAAACACGAGTCAATTTTCAAAGTCAAAGTAGTTGCATAGAGTCTTATTATCTCCGAGATGGAAGATAATTATATCTTACATATACACATTCTAGCGACTTTTTGGGGGTAACAAATTTGTTGCACTTTGGAATAACACATGTAAGGCCTTCAGTTCGTTCGTTCCACGTTGGTGGTGGCGCATACCAAGCGGAATTTATCGTTTTTGCATTGTGTTTAAAGATTAATTTTATCCCAGTTCATTGAAAGCGTTTTTTGTTTTGAAGATTTATAATTATTTTCTTTAATTCCCCTTTATAAACTAATTATGTTAATTTTTGCTGTTCTTTTGCATGAGTAGTCATGGTAGAGTCATTACAAAGCATTAGAATGACATGTATAAAAAGATTATGGTAGTCTTCCTATGTTCTTTGATACTTCAAAGGGAAACACTTGTTGAAAAATTGACAGAGTCTTCCTGTGTTCTTTAATTCTGCGAGAGGAAACACTCTTTGGAAAACTGACGAAGTCTTCCTGTGTTTTTTTGGAAGAACTGCACAGGAAACTCACTTTGGACATAAATTAGACAACCATAGTTAACCACGTACCTGTAAGTAGGAACCTGTTATCCATGTAGTTAGTCACTACAAAAAAGTAAATTCTTAACCTCCTGAATAACTAATGCATTTACCAGTTTGAGTACAGTGCATTAAGCTACCGCTTTGGCGCAGTGTTCATAATTTGTTGACGTTAAGGTCATTCCTCTGTGATTTTCCTCCGGTGTTCTTTGTAAAGGGAATTTACTAAAACATCGGATAGTGTTTTTTCACGCTCTTTGATTGGCTACTCAAACTTCGGATATCCAGTGCTGTTCACTGATTCACCTCGAGCTTCTCCGAGCGAGCGACACCAAACTCGCGTAAGTTACGAGCAAAATGGCTTCCCTGTTTACTGCTGTAAACAAACAAAGAAATTTGTATAGGTAATAGCATGATTTGTAGTGATATTTGGCATAAATACCACGAGTGATATTCCTAAATTGTTATACGTAATTTCGCGTGCTGTTAGGCGAGTGAAATTTGAGACAATTTTGAAATATCACGAGTGGTATTTATGCCAAATATCACGTACAAATCATGCTATTAGGGACTTTAAGATCCAACGACGCGGACGGCAACGAGAACGTCAAAAAACAATTGGTTTAATAAGCAAAACAACTTCGCATGTGCATCACGCTTTTTTTTGTACATTTCTTTCCTGTTTTTGCACGACTTCGACGTGGAAATCCCTGATTTTGCGTCTGATGAAGGACGTAAACAAGCAGCGACAACAACAACAACAACAGTTTATTTCTAGTGCTGTAGACAACTAAAAGAATTTATAGGAATATAATTCTAAATTAACAGAACGTACAGTAGTGGGACACCCAAAATAACTAAGAAGCTAAACTAAAAAGCTAAGCGACGAAATTTTATTTCTCTTTCTGAGCTTAGATATAGTCCCTTGAAATTCAGCTTCAGGAGGGTTCGCCTGCTTTTGACAAAGTAACTGGGAAGGAATAATCGCTATAAAGACTGAAAGAACGCAAATTCACTTTTTAAGCGACGTTCTCGTTGCCGTCGCGTTGTTGAATCTTAAAGTCTCCATTATTTGTTTGTACTACAACCCGCAAAAGTTTTCTAATTTAATCGCTCATCGAAAATTTTATAACATTGCTTTTTTTCAACCAGCACCCTTGAGAGTTTAGTCCTTTACATGTAAACAAAGACAATGAGTACATCCGGCACAGGAAATTCGTCATAAATATGCACGACGGTAAAAAGAACCAACCGCTGTTAGCAAGAGTCGTGTAGGCCTACATGTATCACTTGGAACTTTAACCACTTAAAACGAACGTTTCTGCAAGTTAACATTTTCGTTGATTTTAGACACATAGCCTGTCCAAATTAAGCGAAGATTGATTGATTTGTCGAAATATGAGAAGCATGTTCGCTTCCTAGCGCTCCGCGGCTCACGTATTGTCACGTTTCTTATACACGATTGGTTTGTTCGTTAGACCACAAACACAAAGGTAATGGAATGTGGTTCGGTTCTCAGCATTGTTTGTGGGAGGAGCGTTGCGTGATGATACAAAGAACGGCTGTGGGACAGACTATATGCACTGAGGCTGACCTAGAGTTAGTTTAGGTGATAAGGTGGAATCTCTTAAACTGAAAACACGCTCGTCTAAAACATGCTGTTCCCAAAAAGAATCGCTAAATTATATTCCTTTGGCTCCAAACAGGAAAAGGCAGAAAGATAGTAAGTATTGACGCCCTTAATTGCCAATCAGAACAATGTTTATCGGATTGCCGACGACATCAATGTCAAAAGGTCCCAAAGGTTTCGATTCCCCTAGATGCGTCCGCGAAGCCCCCTTATTTTATACCCGCATCCAATCCCCCAGGTGCCGTTCGTGGAAAACTATATACTTTTTTTTTGGTATGCAGGAGGATATTCAATCTCTATCAAGGGAATTTCTGGCAAGGGTGGAAAGTCAGATGGAAATGCTTGTATGAGAACATTGCTGGATTTCCTTCTATCAGGGGAAATGTACTTATCATCACGCAGGAATCTCGAAAGGTAAATGTTTCCACGCTAAATGGCATACAGTAACAACATTCAAAAGTTGACACTAAAGTGAAAGTGTCACGAGATGATAAGAAGTAAGATCATAATGAAAAGGAACATTTTTTATTACTCTCATTCAAAATTTTCATCCAAATCTAATAAGCTGCACAGTGTTGAAACGAAAGGTCGATGTAGGGTCGATGTGGGGTCGATGAAGGGTCGATAAAGTGTAGGTGGAGGAAGTGGGGGGACAACAATAGAAATGTGGTGGTAATATAATGGTGGTGGAGGGAGACGTAGAAATGTGGTCTTGGTGGTGGTGGAGGGTAACAGTAGAAATGTGGTGGTGGTCGTGGTGGTGGAGGGAAACAATAGAAATGTTGTGGTTGTGGTGGTGAGTGGTGGTGGGTAGCAATAGAAATGTGGTATAGTCGTGGTCGTGGAGGGAAACAATAGAAGGTTGTAGTTGTGCTGGTAATTGTAATGGTGGTGATTAAGGGAAACAATAAAATTGTGGTGGTGGTGGAGGGTACCACTAAAATGTGTTGGTACTGGTGGTGGTAGTATAGCTTGCTTTTACGTGTTACTGACACACCGAGTCGCAGAGCTAGTTATAATTGTCGCTTATAACTGGTAATCACAAAAGGCTTAGAAATCTCTAAAAGACTCTCTAAAACGCTTGTTTTGGGAACTGTTCCGTTTCCTTTATGATTTTGATTCCGTGTTTTTCTTAGGATGCGAAAAAAATCATTGATCCTCTGGCTCAAGAACTTGAGATTGCTGCTACCAACAAGACAGACCTTGAGGTAGGAAGGACGGTAGACCGCCGAAATTTTATTAGGTTTTGTTTTCATTCTTCGTGCAGGAAAACGGTAGTAATTTGTTTTTTTTCCTAAGATTGGTATTTAATTTAGCGCAGTTTGACTCCGCTAGTATTTTTTTCGTTCATGTTTGGAGTTCTGGATTAACAGAGCTGAGGGGATTGGATTAAACTT